TGCCACGACAAGGCAGGGCGCAGAGCAGAGGCGTGGGCGGAGTTACAGAAGCCGGAGCATGAGCCAGAGCCGGAGTTGGTGCTGGGCCGAGGGGGGCTCTCCGGAAGCGTCAGGCCACACAATGTGCAAACAATGAGAGAATGAACCCGCTAAATATGGCCAAACAAGATGAGAAATGGGCTGGCTGGTTGGGGTTTGGTGCGGACTATTCGGTTGGGCGTGTAACAAAGGCGCATTCAAAACAATGTCCTGTTGACGCCGCCGCAGGCTTCAGTTTCAGTTTCACATCGAATTTTTGGCGGGGACTCGGGTGCCTCGAGCGATGCGTTGCGCGTTTGTCGGAACTGTCACATTAAAATGGATGATTTATTTGTGCTCTTAATTTATTGCGCCACAGCCGGCGGAGGCGGTCGCGGCTGCGAGACGCAGTCTGTAGCCAGCGCCAGGATATTGAGTACGCGTAATGCATGAACGAGTGTACCCACCGACTGATGGCAAGGGGCTTGGGGGGCCAATGAACTCCGCCCAGCGGGGCTAATATAATGAATTTTACACGCTGCCATCGCACTTGGCACTTAATAATCGCATTAGGGCGCTAAGCAGCTCGCTGACACATGCACGGCTGCCGAGGGAGGGGCAAAAGACGCAGCAGTGGGAGGCGTGGCAAAAGAAACGCTTGGCAAGTATGGGGAGCGTATACTTTATCAGCTGGCGCTAATGTTTTATTGTTTGCTTATTGCTACAAATGATGGCAGCAGCACCCCTTGACGCCCCCTTTAGACAGTTTCGCTTAATGTGCTTTACAAGTGTGTCGAATGAATTCTGGCAGGCACTGTGTGGCACGCTGTGCGAGTATAAACTCGCCGTAGCTGTAGCTGTGATAAGCGCAGGTGTTTAATTAACGCGCTGGGGTCAGTAAGATCCGTCCATAAAATACTCAAACACACAAAACAGATAACATTGTGTGTGAAAATGCTGCTTACAAAGGCTTGTTAAATGCAGGGATTGAATGTGGTAGGTGCTCATAAACATGCCCAGCTGCAGGCTCCCTTACAAATGTTATTTCATTTGAGCAGGCTTTGTTTCCTTATGGATGCCTTCAATGGTGATGGAATGTGATTTAAATTGACGGGTTGGGTTTCAGAAATTATTGTTAATTAATGAAATATACTATTACTATTGTGCATAGCACAATATAATAGAGCATTTATATACTCTATATTTTTATAGAGTATTCCAATACTATGTAATAGAGCATTAAATATATTAATAATAATACTAATATAAATAACACTGTTTAATAGATCAATAAATATCTTTAAAAATGTAGCTAATTTAAAGCCCAAATATTAAGCACGTAAGCTTACCTTGAAGAATACTCAGAAAAGCTAAGCTAAGGATACAAAAACCAATAAATAAAAACTCTAATTGACAGTGCCTGACTTCGCCATACCCTGAACCTTCTTCTACTAACACCAAATGGCGTCGGAGATGCTTCCTTCTGCCTGTTACATTACTTTCCACAAATGCAATATACCCTTTGTTAACCATCTTCATGGGCTTTAGAGGCTCCAACAAACCGGCAAGGTAAGCATGTCGCCTTACCTTGGTTTGTGGGTTTGTGTGAAAAAGCTACAATATTTCGTATCAATGTTATGAGAAGTTTCTATCGCTAAATGGAAGCACTTTAAAGTTAATTTATAAGAGAAAAAATTGCGTACAGATTTCAATCTATGAAATGTGATATATTTTAGTTACTTCATTTTATGTCTTTTTCAGCTTTTTACTGAAGCACTATTTTATTGAAATAAATAAACAAAAAATATATCACAATTCAGTTTATTACAAACCGCTTTCAAATTTGCACTCAGCTGCAGCTGCACTTCCTATCGCAACAATATGTCATATAAATTGCCATTTAGTTATTATTATTATGCTTGGCAAGGGCGAATCTATTGTTTCCCTTGAATTGCGTTAATAAATCAGTGCAAAAATTATTTGCTGCAATAATGCTTGGCTTGAAATCGCGGCCACGCCCATTTGGCCACCCAATGGGCGGCGCCGCCCATTCATTCGACAGTTGCACAGAACTGTGTAATGAACATTTATGAGGCAATTTCCTTGGCAACACACACACGCTTACACACACACACACACACAAGGGACACACAGAGACAGATGACAAACCGTTGGCAACGGGAACATCGCCTCGCCCAAGTCTTGCTCCTCCCTTCAGCCATATCCTGTACTGCTCGTCGTTCGTCGTCGTCGTCGTCGTCGTCGTCTTCTGCTTTGCTGAAACATGGCGCAGAACTTTTTCTGCTCCACTTATGCCCAAACTAATTAAGTGCAGGAAAAAGTTACCATTTCCTTCCCGTTTACAACTGCCGGTCTCCTGATCCTGGCGCGCTGAATGCAACGTGGTGCTGTCGCTAGGAATACCCTTCCCCCACCCTCCGGCCAGTCCTTGTCTCTGCTGTAAGACAAGTTGTAGCATTTTTTGACACAGGTCGGGCTAGTTGGGTGGGGGAAAGAGGGGTTACATGCTTAGCCAGTAGCTGTGCTGTCCCGCTGGATGCCCCGCATTAGCGCCAGAACGCATTCTGTTCTGCAACTGTCGCTGTTCTCCAAATATTTAACAGTCGCTCCACTTGGCGCTGATAGCCCATTCGGGCGTCATAATAACGAAGATAAATGTTACAAAAGTTTGCTCACAACACACGCCCATGGGCAGCGGCCAGGGCAATGGGGAGATAGTACCACGGACCAAGCCCTATATCTATGCCATTTCTAGTTGCATTGTGCTGCATACTTTTTGGGCAGGGGAACCTTCGGTAATAGCTAGGCGGATAGGGGAAGAGCGCGCTATAGACAATGACAATGTTCTCAACTATGCGTAGAAACAAAAGTTGGAGAGATTTTTCTGTTAAGAAGTTTATAGAGTTTGCTTTGTAGGGTATAAGGGCGTGACGGAATGATTTCTTGCGCCCTTAAGGTTAATTGGTATTCGGTATTAATTTCCTGATAATATTCTTTATTTGATTTGCTTGATTCTACTTCTTCTTCATACATTAAGGTTTGCCTAATACTTCTGTACACAATGGGAACAAGATTTAATAAAAGTTAAGCTTGGGTGAACTTTATTTTCTTTTGTTTTATTTTTGTTTTTATTTGATTTTTTGTAGAGCTGATATTCGAAAATATAATTATGTATATAAGTATATCTGAGAATTTTTGGAGTTTATGACATTCACTTTTCTTTAATAAATTAGCAGGCGCCTTATAAGCTTTATTCTCTGCTAATGCTATTTTTAAATTAGTTTTCAGGAGCTTGTGAACCTCCATTCTACATTTCGTAATTTCAGCAATATTATCAATTTTTTCTGTGTGCTGTTTAAGCTTGGATTTATTCTACCGGAATTTCGTATATTTCATATATATTCGCAATAGTTATATTTTTTATTTTTTATTATTTCTTAAAGGGACACCATTATTTATGTTTCGGATTGAGTATTTTCATAAATCTTCTAAGTTCGCTTTGCGTATATTGAACGCAGACAACATCAATTTTGAATAGATTTTTCTTTTGCGTGTTCATGAACAAACTATAGGGATATATTCAAATTCATGCTGAAGTATTCCAAGCTCTTTATTTTTTAAGTCAAAAATCTATATGCTTTTCGAGCAGAGTATTCGCCAATCGAAGATGCCGCAAAGTGTGCCACGCAAAAAAGACTCTTAACTAATTTGTAGTCGGTGCGAAATGTTGACATGGCAAATAAGATGATATAAGGGGAAGGGGGGTCGTACTTGGGAGGGGGACTACAAATCCCCGGCTGCAATATGGGCACCAGAACTAATGCGTTGGGGTTTTTTGCTTCATTTTAGTTGCAAGTTTAATGAGAACTCGACGCGACAGTTTACACTGATGCTCGTTAGTTTTTTGGCTAAAACTTTACCCTAAGCTCTGTGCAGACCAGCCGTTGCCCCTCGCACGCTCCGGCCGCGGGCGTTTTGGGGCAATGCAATTCACAAATTTCCAACCAGTTGCCAGCTGTTGGCTCACATCAAAATTGCAGCGTGTCCAGGCTCATGTCCGTGTCCAATGTCCAGACGGCGAACAGAGACTGAGACGGCGTCTCGTTTGTTTGATTTATGGCTGTGTATTTGGCAAATGTTGCAGTAGCGCGACCTTTTTGTTCCCCGTTGCTGTTGCTCTTTAATTAAAAAACTAAAATAGATGGCTGCATAGAGAGCGTGTAATTTTTCTAGATTGCAGCACTTGAATTATTTGATTGCCAGCAAGCGATAAATTAGGGTAACAGCAAAACAACAAAGTTTTCCGAGTAACAAATAGTCGCAATTTATATACCCTTGCCGCAAGCACATTAAATCAGAAAAGGTTTTTAGTTGTTTTCTAGCACTAAAAATAAATTATTCTGCTTTTATACTTTGATTTCCAATACATTGATATTGATTAAAAGCGCTTGATTTAGATGAATCTAAAAAGGCTAGCTTACATTATATTGTTGTATTACTTTAGTTGTTTTAAATTCCATAAAATGCAAGCTTTGAAAGCAGAAACGTAAAAAAAGCTCCTTTAAAATATTTAAGCTTTGTTGAACTTCACGCTTAGAACTTTAATGTGCTGGAATCTAAGATATTCAGCTCATACGTATAGGTAGCTAATGTATTGTACTTCTAGCATAGAGGTTTCACAACAAAAGCTCTCATAAAGCACATGTCAACTTAACTTAGAGTTCAATTCAACTGTATACAAATCAGTTTCTCCAAGCTAGTTCCAAGCATTATCTAAATATAGCTTTCGAATACCCTATATGATATATACCCTATATGACTTGCTTTGTTAGAGTATACAAAAGATGATCAAAGCGCGTTGCTTTTAATGGCTGGTTATATAAATAAACCGTCGCTCAAGTTGACAGCGCATTTTGTGCTTGTTCTTCTTCTATTTTTATTCTAAGGACTTAGCTGGGGAAGTACACACATACACTCACACACACACACGCATACATGCTATATAAAGTAGCTCTATAAAAATAACTCACAGATGCTTTCAATAAGAGGAAAAAAAAACAGAGTCTGAGATACATAATAGGGCACACATGACGCACACACACAACACACACACACACACACACACACAGAGAAAGACTTGTGCGCTTGTGAGTAGGAAGTAGCAATGGATGCGAAATCCTTGCAAAGTTCAAGCAGCCGCAGCCTTTTTGGCTCCTGCTGCTCGAAGGCGTAGCTTAAGAAAATAGTTTATGCGCCGCGTGAGGCGCGTATTTCAAATACCACAAATTTAACTCAGTCAGCAAAGCAAATGGATCCGACTTCCATTCCAAACAAAAGTTGTCTGATGAGACTGCAATGCTGACATTGTGTAGCTGTGTCCATTCGACGCCATATTTTCCGCTTTTCCGCTTTTCTTGGTGCACTCAATGCGCACAATATTGGTTAACAATAGATGCCTCGCTTATTTGGCGCTCTGACCATTTAGAAATGTGTACGAAATGGAAAAATTAAATCAATTTATCATCTATGTGGAGGAAGGAAAAGAATACCAGACGATAGACCTTAAAAGTGTGACTAAAGCAGAACAAGCCTTAAAAGACAATATTTCTAAATACTAGACTGTCGCTTATGCTTAATTAAAATATATTTTAAATATCTTAACACATTAACTTATTACTGTTACTTTCCTTTTTGACAAAATGTTGGTTATTTCCGCTAAAGGAAATTGTCAGGCTAAAAGAATTAAGTTATCTTCACATTTTTGTATCTTCAATAATAAATTAATTGTTCATCAAAGTAAAAAAAAAAGTTATTCAAACTCAAGTCAAACTAATTGTAAAACTTAAAAAAAATTCCCATTCTAATGCTAAAAAACTTTATGTCCAACTTATATTGTGTCCAACTAAATAATGCAGGCCAAGAAACCATTCCTGCCAACTCTTGATGCATAATTAAAGCATGAAAAAAAAAAAACAAAACAAATATATTTAGAAGATGAAAAAAGTCTGTGGTATAAAAGCGCTTTGTGCGTCAAATTATGGTAATCATTGCCATATCCTAGTCTCAGGCGGCAACATGCTGTTCAAGCTATTCCCACGACTGCGTATGCGAGCCGCCACGGAGCCGGTCAAGTCCTGCGATGCGTTCATTTATATGGATCGTGGCATGCAATCGATTGGTTGGATACCGCCGAAACACCACTACGGACGCTGGATATATTTTTTGTGGACAGTTTTCACAACGGTGCTTGGAATAATATTGCTGGATGTGTCACTGTTGGTTAGCTATTTCAAGGAATTGAGCACCTTTTCGGCGGGTCAGTTTCTCACCTCGCTACAAGTGTCCTTCAATTGTTTTGGCTCCAGCATCAAAGCCAGCTACACATTTGCGGGCATCAAGCGTTTCGGGCTGGCCAAGAAGCTCTTGGATCGCCTCGACGAGCGCTGCAACCGCGTGGAGGAGTACGAACAGCTGCAACGAGCGGTGACGCGTTGTAATCGGTTCTATATGGCCTACCAGACCATGTACCTAATGTATACGTTCTCCACATTTCTATCAAACGCTTTCAGCGGTCGCCTGCCCTGGAAGCTATATAATCCGCTGTTTGACTGGCAGACGAGTACACGGAACTTTTGGCTGGCTGGCTTAATGGAGTACTTTTGGATGACAATCGCTGTGATGCAGGATTTAATGGCCGATGTTTATCCTGTTATATACTTTCTAATACTGAGAGCTCACATAGGTTTGCTTAAGCAGCGGCTGCAACGACTGCGCACAGATCCAACAATGAGCGAGGAGCAGAACTATGAGGAGCTAATCAAGTGCATTGATGACCATCGTGTAATATTGGAGTAAGTTCCAGAGTGAACTATTTGGCAGCAAATGTTTGCTTTAATTTCTGCTCTTTTCAGGTATTGCAACACACTGCGACCCATTGTTTCGGCCACTATTTTTATACAGTTTCTGCTTTGTGGCCTTGTCATGGGCCTGTCCATGATCAATTTACTCTTCTTTTCAAATTTCGTGACTGGCCTGGGCACTGCTATATTTTTGTTTGATCTGGTGCTGCAGACATTTCCCTTCTGCTTCATTTGCAACATGATCATGGATGATTGCGAGGAGCTAGCCAACTGTCTTTTTCACTCCAATTGGCTCAGTGCGGATCGTCGTTATAAGACCACATTGCGTTATTTTCTTCACAATGTGCAGAAACCCATCGTTCTGTCTGCAGGTGGAGTATTCGAAATTTCCATGAGCTCAAACATAACCGTGAGTAGAGACCCTTTTTTGTGGTTTTAATATGATTCAAATTAACCCATTGTTCTTAAAGGTCGCCAAATTGGCATTTTCCGTGGTCACATTCGTAAAGCAATTAAATATTGCTGAAAAGTTTTAGGATTGGCAATTTCAGGTCGAGATTTCATTAAAAAAAACCTATTGTATGCTAATTATCATATAAGACATAAGAAAATATGTATGTGAAAGACTAGAAAACTTTGATATGCCATTGAATACGTACGTTCAGGTCATGCTCTTAAATATATCAATAACTTATGAGATTAAGAATTGAAATAAACTATGCTAAGCAAGCATACCAAAAATGTGAATATAACAATTTAAAATCTAGATTAAGATAAATTGTAACATGATTCGTTTACACAAATACATAAATAAATAGAAATATTTTATTTTTGCTTATACTCAAAGGCTTTCAATTAGTTAAGCCTTAGATATCTAATAGTGTTGTAAAACGCTCAAGTACGTGACATGTTTCGAAGTTGTTTCAATTTTATTATTCCGTTTCGAATAGTTGGGCACCTCAAGCGTTACAAGCTGCACTACAGAACGAACATGCCGCCTCGCACTGCCACTTAATAAAGTGCAAACAAGCAAGTGATTATTTCACAGCTATTGTTCAACACCCTCCCCCCATACACACACACTCCCGCACACACATATACACACTGTGACTCGTGACCCACGACAGCGACTGCAAAATAGCCAGGATATGGCGAGCGGCGGCGTAACTAAGGATTTGCGTAATATACGGAGAATTGTTCCACACCAGCAAGATATGAGAGTTGATAATCAATTTCACATGGAATAAAAAATACCCTTATGCAAAACTCAAATAAAACCCGTTACAGGCTGTGTCTCACATTTAAAGGACTCACTGTAACAGTGTGTAACAGCAGCGATGACCGCCGCGAAAAATTGTACAGCGTGAATTTTCATTGTTGAGCTGAGGAAAAAAGGCAAGAAAAAATAATAAAGAAGAAAACAAGCTACAGTTATACAATGAACACAAAAACCAGACAGAGCGGACAGCCCACGTAACGGCACAGACAAAAAGCCGCGCTGTGTGGCAACTCTGGCGATTTGCAGTGGCAAAAGGCGAAGACAACCGGCAAATGGTAACTGGTAACTGGTAGCTGGCAACTGGTCCGCGTGCCAAGTGTGCTGAAATTTACGAGCTGCTTTATGGCCGCACACGGACAGCAAAAGTGGACACGCGCACCCGCGCACCCGCACACACACACCAAACACACATTCACACACACACACACAACTGGAATTTTACTTTTTATCCATTTAGGATAAAAGTTTTCCTTTTGTTTTATTTTTGGTTCTTGATTACAGGCAGCTGTAAAATTTTATTGGTATTATCTCTGGGGCTCTTCACAGTTATTGATATTGATTAATTGTTAATAAATGTATATTTCAAGTAATAAATGCATTTGCATGAAAATGCATTGTGGCTATTCATTATGCTCGAGTGGAAACAGTCAATGGGAACATTCAATAGTCACAGTCATGTATCTTAATACGCTTTTTCGCTAATCAGTTTGGGTCCCATCTCCATTTGATACAACTCATTAGTTGATCGATATTTTCAAAATTCTAATCTCTAAGGTAATTTAAAAACCATTAAATTACTTTGATAAATTAACTTCAAATATTTTAAATTAATTCTATAAAGTGAAAGTCTGACTAGAGTATCTATTAAAAAATTAGAATATAATGCGCTGCTATTATAGATCTAAGCTGCTTATATTATTATTTTACTATATTTATATAAAATAATCTACATAATATCTAAAGGCTATTTTAAGCGTTGATCTTTTTAGTCAAGAGTCACCACAACTGCCACACACTAGTTGGCCCACCACAGAGCGAACACAATCAATTGTACGGTGGCAGCAAAAAATATGCAGCTATAATAATTATAATACAAATACTATTATATTCAATTTGAACATATTTCACATATTTTCGTTTGACAATTTGTGTTGTGAGTCACTAAATTAGGACACTCGCCGCAGGACATGAAACATAAAACCCGAAAATTAATATCATTAGTGTTTTATGTGCATATGTAAACATATGTATTTATATATACATATATTTTATAATACTCAATTTGTGCGCATTTATTTTACAGCTTGTAATGAGCTAATTTTGGCATTTGCATTTGCCATTTAACAAATCCCAATTGAAATATTTTGCCTAATTAAATAATGTGAGTGCCGCTCTTTGGATAACTTATACGTTAGATATAACATACCAAATAAGTATGTACAAACATGAAAATTCAGTTCACTTAATTGAAGAGCTGCTAAACATAAACTGAGCACTCAAAGTGACTTGTGAAATTGACTAATTCGGCTTTTAGCGCATTTAATTGACTCGATGAGAAATATGAAGCTTTAAGATACTGCTTAAAAAAGAGAAATTAAGATATGCTGGCGTTTGTGAGTCCACCTGATTTAACATTTCATTCATTATGCTTGCAGATTTTCTTATGTTTTACAACACTATCATTGATAGTGTCATACAGGTCTTATATTGGAAGCTTTTAGAGCTAAATATTAGTCGTATATATGTCATAGCTTTCATGTGCTTTCAAATTTCGTATATCAAGTGTTTAATAAGCTTTTGTTGAAAGTCTTCTGCGCTAAAAGCATTTAGTTGCTTTTGAAGCTCAGCATTCATGCATTCCGTTTAAAGCTGTTTTTAAGATGTTCCGCATGCTTTACGAAGCTTTGTTGCACGCTTATCATCTAAACAGCTGATTTAAAGCTTTTATCCTTTTTTTTACATATCATAAATGGGATTTTATGCGATTGAGAATCTCGAAGCGACAATATTCGAATTTGAGAGAATATCGTAATCTTCAACATACGATCTAATTGTACTAAGCTACTAAAATTTGATAAGTCGGGAAGGTAAATCGCGATGCATACAATATAACGTAATATTGCATGGTTTTAAATTCCGTAACATGTCGCACAGGGAAATTTATCTCGACAATCAATCAACAGAGAGACACTAATTGCAATTTGTGGTGATAGCACTGCACGAATGCGCTACACTGTGCTACACAATTTTTGTTTGCATTTTGCGGCACGCTCTTACCTCGCTGCTGGATGATGGATTTGTGTATGCGAGTTAAGCGTTTGCCAAAAACCGCTAGACTCCCAGTACGAGACAATTTTACACATTCCGCACAACAGTCAATTTCCAGGTAATTCAATTGGTGGCGGTCGCGGCTGCTGTTGTGTGTCTGTGTGTATTGTGTGTGTAACTGTGTGTGCACAGTTCGGCGAAATGCTCATTCAATATGCTGTACAGGTAGCTGCCTGTAGGCCGGCCAAAAACTGTTTGAAATATTTATTCAAATGTTGTTAGCCTGTTGAAGGAGCTGCCTGCGAGTTGGCCATTAAATAAACAGCTTTTGCCGAAAAGGCTTAGTTATTAGAGCTCACAATATTATTACTATTATTATTGCGGTTGCTGTTCCTTTGGCTTATATAATATCAATGTATGCAAATAGACCAATACGCTTTTGATCTCAATGCAGCAACTTTTGCAACTTCTCTTCTCAAGCATTGAGGGATTTTGGCCACCTCGAGCTACCTTTTCGTTTGCCTGCCATTCGGTTCGGGCCAAGTCAGCAGCAAATACTCATTGTTGATGCTTTGGCATTTCGGGCTAACATACAAGCAAATATGGAATGTTGCTAACAATGGTTCAACAAGCTTTACGTAGCTACTGAGCATACTGAGCATAAATAACAGACGTGTTTAAATGCAGAGCAAGTATAAGGACCTTAATACAAGGCAGCTTAATAATCTAAGAGATTGAGCTCTTCAGCACATAAGATTCCAAGAGCATTAACAAAAACAAATAAAATATAAATATATAAAACTAAAAAAAATATATTAAATATGAATATTAGTTTAGTTGGCTAGAGTTCGGCCCAAAGATTTACAAAACCAGAAATATAAATATTAGTTATTTTATGAAAATTGACACAAGACAACTAATTGAAGCTTTTCATATAAATGAATCAATTCAGAGTATTTTAAAAAAGAGTTGGGAAATGTTTTGAATGACTTTTAAAGCAACTCAACATTTTTATTTGCGGGCCTCAATGCTTATTCATTAAATTATTTTATAAAATTTTACTAAAGAACGAACTAAAGCATTGAATAAATATTTAATATTTGGTTCAAATCGATAAAATGCATATGCAAAATGGGGAATACAAATAAAGAAATATTTGCTTTTTTTTTTTAAATTGAGCGTTAAATACAAGGTGCAAAGATACAATAATTGCAAAATAAATATGAAGTGACTACAAGATAGAAAAAGAGCAAACTAAGTCGGAGCAAAAATAATTAAATGGAGATGAAACAAATATGGATTGAGAAAAAGCAATTTGTATATACAATACATAAATATATGCATATTTCAATTAATTAATGACTGCAAAAGAAGCTCAGGTTCATTTATTCTTTGGCATTTATTGAATGCATTTAAAATACTCAGTGCGAGTCCTGGCGCATCCTCGCTGCGGCCGGCAGAAAGTCAATATTATTACGGTCAATGCGAAACACAAGGAGCGTCGATGGTGTCAGCCACAAAAAATGCGGCGATAAAAAATGCTTTCAATTAATTAAACACCCAAAAGCGACACAATAATAAAAATGCAATGCCCCGTTAAGAGAATGACCAGGCAGCCAGTTGAAATAACCAATGAACCCACAGACCATCCCAACCCATCGAGCCAACACCAACAAAAATATGGACCACATTAACAACAACAAAACGAATAACAACAACAACAACAGCAACAACAAAACGGCAACAGTCGGTGGAAACAGCATGCTTACCTCGTGTGGCATGTGCGGCATGCAGCTCATTAATAATACAGATAATGTGTTTGGCAATCATTTCGGGTTGCATGCCACAAATGCTGCTGTGATTAACACATTGAACTCAGCAGCTGAACCAAACTGAGGCACATCCGAAGTGGCTTAACAGCTGCTGTTAACTACATGTTAAGCTCTATTTAACATAAATTGCCATTGAATGTGTGAGCAAGTTTCTTGCCAACCACACATTAGAACTCAATCCACAGCAACATTAGACTATGAGAATTTATGGAGCACCGTTGAAAATAAGGTAGAAAAAGCTTGGATAGGCGAACAAACGTTGTAGAGAGTGGCTTGGACATGCCGAAGTCTTAAAGTGCCTTAATGCTTGTTCTCTTTGAGTATACAGTGATAGCTGAAGTATTGTCTAAAATCAAATATATTCGTACTTCAATTTGTATAACAAATTGACTTAGGCAACTGCAAGAGCATAAGAGTTTAACAAATTTTTGAAAATATAATTCTTAGAAGCATCATCACACCTTAAAGACTTTCGAATGCAAATTATTTGAAGCTTTAATTTTATTCTATTAAGTGTCAAAATTTGTTTTAAAAACATTGAATCAAAAATTTTGCATATTTTTCTTTCGAAATCTTGACAATGAAATCGGATATGTCAAGTTCACAAGTTCTTCCTTGATTTCACCTAAAAACTGTTAAAACTGAACTAATTATCGGGGTCAATGACATTTTTGTCATATTAAAGCTCACATAATTATGTTAAAACTGAATCGATTTTCGGGATATATGTATATAACACGCAGCTGCAAGCTGTAGCTTAAAATCCTTACTATGTTTTCCGTTTGCAGTCGAATCGAAATGCAATCCGTTTATTCAAACTGAGAATCGTATGTTTTGATTCAGAAATGAGCGTATAAAGCCCAAATGGATAATTAGCAGGGCGTCCAATGCTAATTTGTATAATTAAGTGAATTTATTTCAATCCTTTGAGCCGAATTCGTGCTGCAATGTCCTTTGGGCGAATGCAATTCATTTTAATTGCAATGCGGCAGCCAAATTCAAAGAACCTAAAAGAAAACCATTTGAAATGGCTGTAAAATGCCCAAAAACGGTAGCTGCAAAAATAAAAAAAAAAAATAATATATATATGTATATATAAATTCTTGTATGGCATAGTGGTGGAATTTTGTGGGTCACGAGCTCTTTAAATTTTTAGCATCGCATTTGGGCAAGAGGCGACACGAGTTTATAGTTGCTCGCCAAATAAAATACACATGAATGTGCCAGACGTGAGCTGAAAATTGTTGCGAAACTAATAGAATTTTTGACCAGCCAGCAGAGACCAGGAGAACTTTGGCCTGAGACACGAGCTAATCGCGTGCCCGAAACAAATGACACTTGCAGCTGGCTAGGATGCAGCCTGGGAGCAGGTAGCTCAGTCAGCCAGCTGCTCAAACTTCCCCCGAAAAGGAACAGGCGGAACTGTTTGGAATTTTCCAGAAACAATACAGATTTAGCCGAGCTGTAAAGTCAGGTAAAGAGAGGCTGGCTATAAAAATCAAAGGTTCTACGAGCAGAGCACGCATTCCGCTTCGTACGCACAACCCAAAAACAACCAAAAGTGCAGTCTAGAGTTCCTTAGTAGCCAGTACAAATTAAAAGAAAAATTAAAGACGGCAGATATGGCAGAGCAACTGTTCCCTGGTCTGGAGCGACCTCTTCCGCAGCTACCGTCCCTGCACTACACGCTCTTCGCCTATCGCGAGGAGCTGCGACGTCGCGACGCGCCCTTCATGAAGATGTCCACGATCAAGCTTCATCTAACCGATAATCTGATATTGCAAACGATTAAAAATATACGACTATTGGATACCATTGAGATCATGAACCTCAATCGCGAGATTGTCTTCAAGCGCAAGCTGACCAAGCAGATGCGGAAGGTGCGCAAGCTGGAGAAGATGGGACTCAATGTGGATCCGCGTCAGCTAAATGATTTGCAGTGGGACTAAGCCCGTAAAGAACAGCAGCAGATAACTGTGTACAACAACAACAAAAAATAACAAAAAAAAAAAACATACTCCAAGCATGTCAACAACTTAGTTAATAAGATCGCAAGTTTCTAAAACTCAGTTGTAAGCTGAACTTATATCAAATATGTAATTAAATGGAAAACTAATATTTTAATACATAAAAAAGAACATTTTTTTAAAATACAAATACAAATTTAAACTGAAAATTCTTTGTGCTTTTTCTTTAAATGTGATAATTGTGTTTTTCTGCTAAGAGTCTTCTACAATCATGATTCGCAGCCTTCAGAAATAATAATATTCTGATTCCACTGCAACAAAATATTTTAAATTTACCAACTTTCAATTCTGCGATACTACCATAATTTGAGAAAATGATTTTTTTAAATTTGAGTGCAATTAGAAAACTGTTCAATTATCAGAAATATTTATCTACATTTAAATGATATTACCCTACAAAGTTATATTTTAGAAACATGAAATATGAGATATAGAAATAAAGGTTGTTTCTTAAAGAAGGGAACTACACACTCATTACTTTTCTTAGGATAAGGGCAAGATAATAGCCTTTTTATTTCTAGAATTAGTAAAACATGACTTGAATATAGAAAATGTTTATAAATATGTCGTGTATCCAATAAATTATTGTGAGTATTATTTTGAATGCTAACGATTAAGTGTTAGTAAGAATCAGAGAATTTGACAGAAGGTACTGCTATTTAACATAACTGTCCTACTTGTATTAGGGTTGCTACTGAAAGCATGGTGTGAGACAAAAAAGATAGTCTCTGCCGAGCATGGCCCGAGTGTGTTGTATAACGTCCAGTTTGCTATAGTGTTGAATGTTCACTAACAGTACTAAAAGTCAGAGAAGAATATAGAATGACAAGAGCATGAGTAGTATGCTCGAGGACGATGAAAATTATTCATTCTAAAAGTGGAAGTCATAGAGAACAGACGTGCTCGCTCCTAAAAATATAATTATTTTGTGACTATAACGACACTCGGGACTTGCTGTGCTGCCAGTATGCCTAATTGCAAAGAAAGTGATTTCTCTGTTCCGACATCAGAAGTGGGATTAGGCGATGCCCCTCCACGAGGCAATTCTGACGATTCGTGGCGTCAGCTTTTGGAATCTCAAAATCGAAATATTCTTGAGATTATTAAAGCAATGCAGATGTCAAATTCAGCATCCTCAACAAAGAAGAGCATCTCGTTGCCAAAGTTCAACCCGGACATTGCAGGCGCAGATGCAAATGCCTGGTGCAAAACTGTGGACATAATACTTGACGATAATCCTATTGAGGGCAGTACACTGGTGATGACCCTCAGCGGCTCCCTAGAAGGAAGCGCCTCGCCCTGGCTTTCTCAAATATGCTATACTGGAATGAACTGGCAAAATTTTAAGGAATTGTTTTTGCAACGTTTCGTGGGAATGGAAACATCGGCGGCAACTTTAATGAACATTTTTAATGGCCGACCGAATGATGGCGAATGCCTCTCCGTATATGCGAGCCGTCTTGTGACGTCACTTTTATCCAAATGGAAGACAGCGAACATGGAGGAAATTGCAGTCTCAGTTGTTTTGGCACATACATCGAAAATCGACAAAAGTCTGCAACGTATGTTATATACGACTAATATTAAAAGTCAAGACGAGATGCAACAGCATCTGAAGGCCTATGCTTATGGAAGGTCAAATGGAGGTCTACAGCCAAATATCCCAATGGAACCAGATCGCAAGAGATCGAAAACATATGGCATTAAATGTCATCATTGTGGAAACCTCGGACACAAAATGGTCGAATGTCGCAAGAGGAAGTATGAAGAAGGCAACGTGTCAAAAAACTCAGCATTACCTAAAGTTCGATCTGCCGTTACCTGCTTCAAATGTGGCGATGCTGGCCACATTGCGTCTTCATGTACGAAAGGAGTTTCTACGAGCGGTGTTGGATCACATGACAAGCGTATAAACATCTGTTGTGTGTCCGAGCCAAAAGGAATCCTGCGTCAATCTGGTGAGCTCGTTCCATTTTGTTTTGACTCTGGAGCGGAATGTACGCTCATCAGAGAGAGTTGTGCCGAGAAATTTTCCGGAAAAAGAATTAATAATTTGATAGTTTTGAGGGGTATTGGAGAAAATCCTGTGTATAGCACTATGCAAATCTTGGCTACTGTTAAAATTGATCAGTACTCCTTAGAAATATTATTTCATGTAATAATGGATAAGTTTTTGAAATACGATGTATTGATAGGCCGTGATATACTCGGATTAGGCTTTGGAGTCTCCATCGAGGCCGACAAATTTGAAATGTACAAAACCAAAACTGTTGATGTACTAATAAAAGTGCCAGATATAAGTTACGTAGAGCATCTGAATAACGATAGAGCATTAAGCAACACTGATAAGAATCGTCTGCTAGAATTATTGCAAAACTATGCTGATAAATTTATTGAGGGTATTCCTCAAACGCGAGTGACTACGGGTGAACTTGAAATCCGCCTGCTTGACCCAAATAAAACTGTACAAAGGCGTCCGTATAGGTTAAGCATAGAAGAAAAAGAAGTCGTGCGAAATAAAGTAAAAGAATTGTTAGACGCAAACGTTATACGTCCTAGTTGCTCTCCATTTGCAAGCCCAATGCTGATGGTAAGAAAGAAAAATGGAACCGATCGACTATGTGTCGATTATCGGGAACTGAATGCTAATACGGTCGCTGACAAATATCCGCTGCCTTTGATTTCTGATCAAATTAATAGACTGAGTGAAGGCAAATATTTCTCCAGTTTAGACATGGCAAGTGGTTTTTACCAAGTTCCAATACACCCAGACTCTATCGAGCGCACTGCTTTTGTCACGCCAGAAGGACAGTATGAATTTTTGGCCATGCCTTTTGGATTAAAAAATGCTTCCTCGATTTTCCAGCGCGCAATCGTGAGAGCATTGGGTGATTTGGCTCAAACGTATGCCATCGTCTATATAGATGACGTGTTAATTCTAGCGAAGACAAAGGAAGAGGCACTTGAAAGGCTACAAACGGTCTTGGAAAACTTGTCTAGAGCTGGATTCTCATTTAACATTACAAAATGCTCGTTCTTGAAAACAAGCATAGAATATTTAGGATACTTGGTTGAAGCGGGTCAAATTCGACCAAATCCACGCAAGATACAAGCGTTGGCCGAATTGCCGTCACCGCAGTCAGTAACGCAGGTGCGACAATTCATAGGCCTAGCCTCGTATTTTAGGCAATTCGTACCAAAATTTTCTGAGCAGATGAAAGCTTTATATAATCTCACCTCCAAGAATAATAAATTTGTCTGGAAGCCGGAATATGAGGAAATTCGTCAAAAAATCGTATCAATTTTGACTAATGACTCCGTTTTGACAATTTTCGATCCACTAAAGCCAATTGAATTACATACAGACGCAAGTTCTATTGGATATGGTGCTATTTTAATGCACAAGATAGAAAATAGACCCAGAGTCATTGAATATTACAGCAAATGTACGACAATGGCTGAAGCAAAATATCATTCATACGAGCTTGAGACCCTCGCAGTTTACAACGCAGTAAGACACTTCCGCCATTATTTACATGGTCAAAAATTTATTGTGCATACAGATTGCAACTCCCTGAAAGCAAGTATCAAAAAAATTAACCTTACCCCAAGGGTACATAGATGGTGGGCATATCTGCAATCATTTGATTTCAGCATTGAATACAGGAAGGGAGAACGCATGTTACATGCTGATTTTTTCTCGCGCAATCCGTTGCCTACTGATTATAAATCCTCAGCGAAAACGGTTGAAATGCACATAAACCTAGCTGAGATAACCGACGATTGGCTTCTAGCCGAACAGCAACGAGATTCTGACATTGCTTCCATAACCTTAAAATTGCGAAACCATAAGATGGGAGAAGCTATCTCAGCGTCGTACGAATTGAGAGCAGGAGTATTATATCGAAGGATTCAAAGAAATGGCAGCACAAAATGTTTGCCTGTAATACCTAGAGCCTTTAGATGGTCAGTCATTAACAATGTTCACGAAGCCATAATGCATTTAGGGTGGAAGAAAACTCTAGACAAAATGTATGCCAACTACTGGTTCGAGAAGATGTCTAAGTATGTGAAAAAGTTTGTAGAAAATTGCATTACCTGTAGAGTGTCAAAACCACCATCTGGTAAGCCACAAATAGAAATGCACCCGATTCCTAAAGATGACATACCCTGGCACACTGTGCATATTGATATAACCGGAAAATTAAGTGGCAAAAACGACTTAAAAGAGTACATCATAGTTCAAGTTGATGCATTCACAAAATTTGTTCACCCTCAACATACGCTGAACCTTAATACGGAAAACTGCATTAAGGCAGTCAAAGAAACTGTTGCACTATTCGGAGTGCCGGCACGCATCATAGCTGATCAGGGTAGATGTTTTGCTAGCACAAGGTTTAGGGAATTTTGTTCTTCGCAGAAGATAGGTTTACACCTGATTGCGACGGGCGCCAGTCGAGCAAACGGCCAAGTAGAGCGTGTCATGAGCACCTTGAAGAGCATGCTCACAGCGGTTGAGAGTAGTCAGCGATCCTGGCAAGACGCTTTAAAAGACATACAGCTGGCAATAAATTGCACGACAAATCGTGTAACGAAATATAGTCCGTTAGAATTGCTAATCGGTAAAGAGGCAAGGCCGTTAGGAATGATAACAATATCAGATGAAAAAACAATTGATAAAGATTTAATAAGAGCACAAGCGAAAGATAACATGGTGAATAACGCTAAATATGATAAGGCTAGGTTTGATAAAAATAAAGCAAAAATTGTAAAATATAAGCTTGGTGATCATGTCCTACTCAAGAGGGAAGAACGAAATCAAACGAAGTTAGATCCCAAGTTTAAGGGACCTTTTGAGATAATCGAAATACTTGATGGAGACAGATATTTATTAAAGTCATTGACGAGTAAGCGCACGTTTAAGTATGCACATGAGTATTTGCGAGCTTTTCCAAGCAACAATGTATCGGAGGAGTTGATAGATTTGAGAGATGATGAGTGTGACAATGTTGAGGACATTGCTCAAGACACTGTGGCACTAAGAGAGAGTGCGGTTGGGCTCATACACGATGGCTAAGACCGCACCATAATACTCACGCCGTGCACAAGTGCTCGATCATGGCGTGCTGAAGCGGGTGATATTATGGCGGGGGTCAGAGGTTGAAAGACCTGTATGGATCCGCTCCATGTTATCGTTGCTGGGCAGCAAGAGCCTATAGACGTGTGATGACAGAACAACAACAAAAAAAAAAAAAAAAAAAATAAAAAAATAAAACCTACAATGACCGATGATACTGCTGTTTGTAAAGCTATTCTTAAAGTAAAGTAATGACTAATAAATTTTACCCAACAATTTTGACTATGGCATGATCTAAGCGAAATGTACACACGAGGACGTGTGAAATGTCAGGAAGGCCGTGTCGTGTATCCAATAAATTATTGTGAGTATTATTTTGAATGCTAACGATTAAGTGTTAGTAAGAATCAGAGAATTTGACAGAAGGTACTGCTATTTAACATAACTGTCCTACTTGTATTAGGGTTGCTACTGAAAGCATGGTGTGAGACAAAAAAGATAGTCTCTGCCGAGCATGGCCCGAGTGTGTTGTATAACGTCCAGTTTGCTATAGTGTTGAATGTTCACTAACAGTACTAAAAGTCAGAGAAGAATATAGAATGACAAGAGCATGAGTAGTATGCTCGAGGACGATGAAAATTATTCATTCTAAAAGTGGAAGTCATAGAGAACAGACGTGCTCGCTCCTAAAAATATAATTATTTTGTGACTATAACGACACTCGGGACTTGCTGTGCTGCCAGTATGCCTAATTGCAAAGAAAGTGATTTCTCTGTTCCGACAAATATATGTAAAGATCCAAGTACTTCTATATATATTCTGTTGTTTTTATGCTTAATACGTGTATAAATAATAATATATATTAAAAAAATAGAAAAATTATAATATATAAAAATATATATTTATTTTATCACAGATTCACAACGTTTGAGAGCGAAACATAGAGTATTCCCTAGTCACATATGCCTGCAACGTGGAATTAAGTGCAGTTTGGTTAATTGTCGATTACACTTTCAGGTACGGAGGCAAACTACAAAATGCCAGGCCATATCTGTGCTTGACTGTGTATCTGCGTCCATACGCACACAAAGAGAGGCATGCGGCAAGGATGGCGTTTGATGCACCACTGCAGCCACTAATAGACTTCGTGGCAAAGAGCTAAGGGGCGTGCATGTATGTCTGTGTGGTGCAGATACAGCTTCACTTTTGGCAGAAGGCTTTTAGACATCAGAGCGAAAGGCTTCATTAGTAGAGCTCGATTTTCGTGAAAATGGGTCAGCGTTGAGAGTGGCAAAAGAGAAAAATAGAGAGAGACGGAGAAAGAAAGAGAGATATAGAGACAAAAAAGAGAGAGGTCAAAAAAGATGAAAGAGAACTAAATTTACCTTGATAATTTGTTAAGCCGTAGCAGAAGGGCCGAATTTTGTTTTGTCTGTATTCAGTTGTGGCGCAAGATAATATTTGTGCAATGAAATTAATTTGTTAGTTTAATGAAATATCTTCAAGATATTTGCGGAACAAGGTATCGATGATTTAACAAACAAATAAAACGCGTACTGTGCGGACACTACGGGGACGTATGTTCATTTTAGGTCTTTAGCTCCTAGTATAAAACGATTTTGTTTAAAAGAAAAATAAATGTATATCATTTATATATTAGCTAAAACTACGTTTAAGCGAATTTATTAAAACTAAATTCATTAAATTAAAAATGTGTAGTACATAAATAAAATATGTCGACATAAATTATTCTGTGTTTATAGCTATTTATTTTGTTTCAATTATGACAAGCAAAAATTATATATAGTGAGAATTATTCCAGAAATATATATAAGACTCAATCAGAATATTAACAAATCTTATAACATCAACAAAAATAATAATTCTAAATTAAATGAAACTTTATAAAATGGATAGGGCAGAGATATAGTAATTGAAAATAACTGACCCGATGGGGGAAATTCCCGTTGCCTATCCGGTCAGCAATGCCATGTTGATCTGCTCTCTTGTATAATATCTTAAGAATTACAAATATTGTATGCCTTGGCCATAATTTAGGTGCTTTGGAAAACATTGTGAGCTCTTTGATGAGCTCTCAGGCACAGCTTTGGAGTTTTAACAGCCTCAGGCGTGGGTTGTTGTTTGCATTTGAGTGCAGCTCTTAATGATTTAGCAAAGTTTTTCTGCCAGATGCACATTACATGCCGAACCACACCCACAAGCCGTTGCTGTATGTTGCGACCATAAAAACTTTGTCAGCAAAACGACAACAACAGCAACTGCAGCAAAACACATGAAAAATGCAAGGCAAAGCGTAAATTGTAGTCGCAGCTGAAAGTTATTTCCTGAGTTTTTTGTTGTTTTTTTTTTTTTTTTTTGGCTTTTTCGCATATAAGTAAATAGAGAAGGGTGGTTGGCGGGCGGGGCAGACGGTGGGTGTGGCGGTGCGTGTTTTAGTAATTTAGTGCGGCATTTGAAATGTCGTTTTTCGCGCTACAGTTAAAAAGGAAGCAACTGGGAACGCGACGCAAGAAGCGTAGAAGAGAGAAGCGGGCAGAGCATAAGCAACGGCATGTTAACATGCAAAACTACGCGATGTTCGGTTTGGTTCCGTTCTCCTCCGCTCTCTTCTCTTTTTGTTGTGCGGTGTGTGTGCAACTGCAACCGCACTTTATGTGGCATGCCAGCACGCATTTCTTATGTGAAACCCCGTACTCAACGCAGCTAGAGAATTATGCAAATGCCACACAATCTCTTCACAATTTGGTCATATGCGTAAACAGCGCTCAGTAGGTAACATTTGTAAACAGGCCTATTTAAAACTGAAACTAGTTCCTAAAAGGAGCTGAGCCAGTCTTTACCAAAGGTTGACATTTATCAACGGGCCAATTTCGAGCTAGATCCACTTTGAATTGACACGCCTATTTCAAACTGAAACTAGTTCCCAAAAGAAGCTAAGCCAGCTTTGATCAAAGGTTAACATTTATTAACAGGTCTATTTCGAACTGAATTAATTCCCAAAAAGAGCTGAAACATTTTTAATTCAAGGATTAACATTTATTACCACGCCTATTTCGAACTGAAACTAGTTCCCTTAAGAATCTGAACCTGTTTTAACTGAGGATAAGCATGAATTAACAGGCGCATTTTGCATTGAAACTAGTACCCAAAAGGAGTTGAACCTATTTGAATATGTATAATTGTCGAAAGGCTTAATTATACATCTCAATAATATTATCTGGCTTATCTGATAAATATTTTTAAATGTTGATTTAATTTTTATTGGAAATAAAATTGATTCCGATTCAGATAATCGATGTTTCATTCTTAAACCAAAGTTTTATATTCAAAGCACTTTGAAATTCTTTTGTGTGATCCTTACTAAGGGAGCTAGAGCTAAACTGGTCGACACACTGACTGAATGATTGACTGGCTGACTCTCTGATAGATTGTCTGATGGATTGACAGAACAAGTTTAGTGGAATAAAAATAAAATTCTTGGAACTGGGCTAAGAAATCCAGAGCTTGTACATGATGTGTACGCCATTGGCGGGTATTTTGATATTCTTGAGTTGAATATTTCTTTGGGAATTGCATTTCAAGTGGCCAAACCATGCAACAAATACGCGTAGCGAAGCGCACTGGAATGCATGTAATAGAAAATACAAAATGACGCAAGAGCGAAAGAAAAATATTAATGCACAAAAAAGTGCACTGCAAAAAGTTGAAAGCGCAAAACTTTGCGCACTTCTGTCCAGGGTCTAAGCCAGAAAAAGGACCCCCATGCAAAAACAAAAACAAGAAAAACAGACTGGCGCTGCTGCTGCCGCCGTTCACAATGGACCAAGTTGGAACCCAAAAAGTGGCTCAATGACAGAAATTTATCAGCGTACAGCGACTGACAGATGCGTGTCGAGTTCGTGTGCGTCGCATGTGAATATTGCGCATACGCACAGTGTTGCAGATGGGGAAAATATTGAAATTTAGTTTTATGAAAGACATTTCTTTAAGTGAGGGTATTTGTTTTTCTTTAAGGTAGCAGCATAAGCAATAATATAGTGTTGGGACTTCACAATGCTTCTGTAGGAACCTAGGCAGCTCATTTAAAGATAAAATTAACTTACTTTACAGAACAGTTGACTTTACACCCAAATTGGTTTCAGCACATTATGAAAACTTTAAAATTTTAAAGACAACAGCAAAGCATCAAGCAAATGCGATGAGCTTCTAGGCCTAGCATAGTCTGCTCTTCGGGAGGGTCTTTCAATAGCTATGGAAAAAGCTGCTCTCTTTTTTTTTGTTCCTGTCATATTAAATCAATATCTCGCTGCTTTAAAAGCCATCTTCATTACACAGATACCACATCAATTTATTCTAATTATTTTCATAAAATTAAATTTATATAAAATGGTATCGCGCACTAGAATGTTGTGCTGTTCAAGTACAAAAGCGAAAACAAATAGTTGCCACATTTCAGTTTGCATAGATATTTGAAATATCCAAGAATTTGGCCCATACAATTTTGTTTTGAACATTTTACATGCAAGACCAAATTCTTCTTATTGCTGGGCACCCAACTGACCCGACACAATGTATACGAGTATGAGGCCCGAGGCCCGAAACCTAACCCCATCCGCTCATTGCCAGCTCACGTTTCTTGGGAGGCTGTGTGCCAGCCCAAACCGCTGAGCCATTGAGTGCCTGGCGCCCAGTCACAAGTCGCAAAATATTTTAACCTACACAAAAGCACGCAAAGAAGCAACAAGCTCCCAGCTCCTAAGCTCAAAGTGAACAAAATTCCTGGCGTGCCAGGGCCAACTACAGCCCATACCGCAAAACCACAGCCAGCAGCTAGATGGACTGGCAGAAGGGGGTAGAGGAGTGTCGCAATGTAGTGTAACGAAACTAGTCGTGACACAATTTTTGATGCAAATTGCAAAAGTCATGGCACTTGAGTGTTTCGGCTATTGCCTGATATCGATGCCATTCTTTGGAAGATAAAAAAAAGAAGAGGAAGGAAGGTGCTCCAAAATGCCAAAAATGTACTGTCTGACTAGGTGATATGCATGCCTAGGCTAATAACATTATCGGCCCATAAAAGTGTTGGCCAAAAAGAAAAAAAAAACAGGGAGAACGAAATTATATATTATTAAATTTTACAAATGGCTCGGCTGCCAGGCACGCAAAACCGTTTTCCTTTTACAATAAAGTGCAAAGCGAGGCGGCAACGACAGAGCGGAAGAGCCCTCCACTAACCGCAGATAAATGAGACACTCGGGAACCGCTGGTGACAACAACAACAACAACAACAACAACAACAACAACGACGACGACGGCAAGGATCTGAGGCTGGGGAGAAACTGGCAACAGGATGTGTGCGACAGTGTTGGCCAAAATGCACATAAAAAACCGATACAATCCCAATTGAATCAATTGAATTGAATGACTAAGCAAGACCCTCGTCTGGGCCATAATGGTTAGGGTATGAGCGGCAAATGGGGGCATGCCCCACCGCCACACTTGCCGCAAAGACACTAAAATACCCAGCGAAAGGATTCCTGCGAGACGAACTGAGAAATAAAAATAAATTGATGTTTTCAAGTGTCAGCCGTTTGTAGCATGTGTGTGGACATTGTTGATGGGTAAGGGGATAAAGCGGGGCTAGCTTTAGAAACCATGGACACATGTCCATGACACGAGGCACAGTCGCAGCTAGTTTGATTTTGTTCTCTCCACTGTTTCCACTCAGCAATTTGCTCAATGATGCAATGCGGTAGGTTTATATTTATGATTTCTCAGATAAGTTAATGCAATTGCTGTCATTGAAATAAAAATATTGGAGAGCGGTTCGGCAAGTTCCGCGCAAAAAGAAGAAAAGTTAAGGAATGCAAAATTAATAAAATAAAAATAATTATCAATTGTCATTCCAGCAAAAATGGTGCGCATAATTGGTTGAGCATACAATATCATATTATAATTATTTGCTAGAAAACTGAGAGAGAACACAGTTTTCAATTCAATTGGTTAATTAATTAATTTAAATTCAAATGTAATGTAAGTCCATTTCCAAAACATATTTCTTTTGGGTTAACTTTGATTTTAATAATATTCACATAACTATTTTTAATTTATTTATTGGAAAAGGTTACCTACACTTTGGAATATTCACTGGCATTCAAAAGCCCTTCGACCGCACCTCGCTGAACCACTTTTGTTTCAACGACTTCATTTTGGGCGGGGGACGTGTCAGAGAAAAAACTTCCGGGCAGACATTTGCAAAAAGAAATAGAGCGAGAGTAAGGGGGACTGGGAAAAAAAATTACGAGCAAAACTTTTGCAATTGAAAACAAAGTGAAAGAACCGAGCGCAACGCTGCGAGTGTGCACCGAGCTGTAAACAGTTCTCGGTTTCAGTTTCAGTAACTCCCAGACTTGCAGTAACAGTTAGTAGCCGGCCCCCGATGAGGAGTCTGCATGCCACAAAAGTTACGGGCATGTTTTGCCCAAAAAGTAAACGAAACAAATTCGCTCCAATGAAAGCGGGTTGTCAGAATCGCATTAGCTATTGATTCCTACACCTAGATAAAGCTGCGCAGCATGGAGTGTATAAATGGGTCCAGGACTCGTACAGCATAGCTGAATGCCGCGGTGACATCATCACCAACTGAATGGGCCGACATCATCATTGGCGCCTAATGTAAATTATAAACATTGCAAATGCGTAACATGAAAAAACACTCAAGTGCGTTTGATAATGCTGACAGGAT